CCCAAAGTTTCAGCCCTGTAGCTTTTGTAGGCCTTGAGATGAAAAACCGTGACAGACGCACACACGACACACAGACACACACACACAGGCAACCTCTCATCAATATGCGTTTTTCGCATTGCACAGCTGCGAAAAACGCATTAAAAAAAATGAAAGGGAAAATGAGAAATAAAAATTACCAAATTTGTATGATTATTATAATGGTAAGAAGTGTTTAGGTCCATTAAATCGTATGTATTTCTTACTATCGCTATAACTGGACGTCGTCAGTGCGACGATTGTGGTAATTGAAGTTAGTGAAAATTAGGGTTAAATTAATTGTGTAATAAATGTTAGTAGTAACAGAATGTTATGGAAGATAAGTAGTAAGACAGGTTTTATGAAAAAAATTAGCCTTGGGAAAAATACCCTGCCCTTCCCTGCTCTTCTCATCTTTTTTTATCTCAAACGTACTAAAATTTGGCGTCTAAAAAATTCTCCCGTTCCTTTGTTTGGCCTTGCTGTGCTCTCAAAATCATTTAAAAACGAAACAAATTTTAGGCATCATTCCGCAGTGGTGGACAATTGAATTCAGAGCATGCAGGCATTTGGACGCGTCCAATGACAATAGCTTGTTTGGCTGAAGGAGTACTTGGATTGGGCGTTGTCAAAGAGGTACGTATTTTCGCATGTTTTTAAAATTTAACAGAAATTTTTGAAAATTTTGGGGCGAATTTTCGATTTTAATAAAATGAGATAATGGCGAGTCCTTGTTAAAGATTCCTGTTCTTTTGATCTTTTTTTTTTTGTATTTACTTGTATCATTACTACAACAACCTCATTGCATACATACATGCACATACACGCAAACACACATACTAACACACACACACACACACAAACATACACACACAAAAACATACACGCATATCTACGTGCACGCATACACGCATACACACACATGCACCAACATAAACATACATGCATACATACGCGCTGCGTACAGCCTAAGGATTAGTGTTTAGCACTTTGAAGCAAATGGACTTTTTTTGAGCATTTTTACTTGGAGCTTCGGGGCGAGAAGTTGCTGTTGGTACTTATTGTTACAGCGGGATTTTAATTTTTATGCATGTCTGTATATGTGTGTACGCCTTTGGGTGTGTGTTTGGTGTCTGTAGTTGAGGCTGTG